TATTTTTTCATTTCTAACTGCAGCTTTACATTTATTTTGGAAAAGTACTTTATTGAGACCAAAATGATTAATATACTAGCAGAATTAATTTAAAATAATTTAAAAACCTTACTTAGTGCTATAGGTTGAATCTAGAATGCCCCTGAAAATCCCATGCATTAAAAGGCTTAGTTGCCAGTCTGTGATGCCATTGAGAGATGGTGGAACCTTTAACAGGTGAAACACAGTGCAGCCACTGCCCCCACCCTCTTTGCTTCCTGATTCCCATGATGTGAGCAATTAACACATCTTGGCTTCCTTGCCATTGTGTATAAAATAGCATTATTTAGTCCCTTATTCTTCTTTTTTTTATCTTATCTCATTTTCCTCCAATACTAACATACTGCTTTTTTTCCTTCCTAACCTATCACATATGAATAGAAGATAAGTTTCATAAGAGGAAGGACTTAATTCATATTATATACTGTTGCAAGTTTTAGATAACTGCCTAGCACATAGTAGGTATTCAATAAATATTTTATGGAATGAATTGATCAATTATACTTTAATGTATCTTAGATTTAATTCATTGCTTCTACAATTTTTTATGTCTTGATTTTCTTCTATGTATATAAAAGAACTCCAATTATTAGAGATTTGATAATTTTCAAGAGGGCTGCCTATTTGAAAATAATTTACTTCCAGAGTTATATCTTTGGGCGAGGACTTTAGATCAAAACAAAAATAATTTACTGTATAGATGATACTTTTACAAGTGTCATCTCATTGATTATTTCCATTAACAAAGTGAGATATTATTCTCAAATTATAGATGAAGGATCTAAAGCTTTGAGAAATCATGGAAAACATACAGAGTCACACAGAAAGTATTCAAATCTATTTCCAGAGTTTGTGTTCTTGCACATTTACCCCCAGTTTCAAATACATCATTTGTAAAGATAATTATCAGTTTAATGTAAGCACAGAGCATAGTGACAATTCAAGGGAAGAAGACTTTGAATATATTCTTTAGAGAAGATAATTTGGGGAAGATTATTGGGAGGCTTTTGAATGGGTTATTTCAGGGCAACATTGACTGATGCAGGGAAAGTACAAACCATTGACCATCTGGGTAGTTTGACATTACCCAAAGTGGATAGAATGAAAGGAAATAAAAATTGAGTTTCATAATCTGGGTTTAGGCCAGTAAATCATAACCAGTAAACAGACTCACTTGATGTGACATTATAATTGATTAATGAATAACAAAAATAATTCATATGCCTGAGGTTTCTAAAAGAGTATAATAATCTTTAGGTATCATGAATAGGTTGTTTTTTAAAGCAATGGGAAGAGATAGAAAAAGTTTAGGGAGAAGGGAAGATACAAGAGTGAGCATCTGCATTTATCAGAGAAAGTTTATATATAGTATATAATTGGTATATAAATACTTTTTTTAGTATTAATTAATACCAATGTTCTTTTGCCTGGGTGTATATCTCTAAGTCATGCAGGTTCTGTTTATAATGCTTATCTTAAGCTAAGATGGCCAAATTGACAAGCTTGATTTGTAATAGCTAAATTGTTTCACTTTCTTCAAGTTGAGTAGAGATTATTTGTGTTGCAAATAGCAACATGACAAGCTTGATTTGTAATAACTAAACTGTTAAACTTTCTTCAAGTTGAATAGAGATTATTTGTGTTGGAAATAGCAAAACACTGTTTGATACCATTTTCATTTTTGCTGTCATTGTGGTCAGCATTTTACAACTGAAAGATTGTTCATTTATTATTTGCCTATGATGTGAAGCTATTGATAATCCTTCTATTTAATTAATACTGTTTAAATAAGAATGCATTTTACAGCTTCGTGATTCTTTTGTGACTTAAAGACAGTTTTTTTTTTATAGAGATCTATTTTGTTGGTGTAAGACTAGGGTTCTGGATTCCTCCCATATATCACCTTAGTGTGTTGTAGTATGACAATTCTGAGGAATGCTTCTTCAATCCAGGTTTGTTGTTGTTCATATACTTGCTTTTAGAGGAATGGAATTTTTTAATAGGTAATATGTATTTTATAAGGGATGATTTTATATATAATTTATAATATATTATACATATATATATATATATATATATATATATATATCCCATATATTATACACAAAGTAGAGTCACATTCTTCCTGTCTTCATATATGTACTTAGGGTAATGATGACCATCGCATTCCACCATCTTCCTACCCCTATACCCCTCTCTTTCTCTCCCTCCCCTTTTCCCCTTTGCCCCCTATCTAGAATTCATTTAATGCTCCCCCCCCCCCACACACACAGCATATTATGAATCAGTATCCTTAAATCATTTGGCATTTGATTTTTTTGGGATTGGCTCATTTCACTTATATTCTCCAGCTCCATCCATTTTCTTTCAAATGCCATGATTTTATTCATTTTTATTGCTGAACTAATATTCCATTGTGTATATATACTACATTTTCTTTATCCATTCATCTACTGAAGGATATCTAATTTGGTTCCACAGTTTAGCTATTGTGAATTGTGCTGCTATAAACATTGATGTGGCTGTCTTGAAACACTGGCCAGAGCAACTAGACAGACTAAAGAAATTAAAGGGATATGGATAGGTAAAGAAGAACTCAAATTAGCACTGTTTGCCAACGATATGATTTTATACCTAGAAGACCAAAAATTTTCACCAGAAAACTTCTAGAACTAGTAAAAGAATTCAGCAATGTAGCAGGATGCAAAATCAACACCCATAAATCAAAGGCCTTTCTATATATCAGTGACAAATCCTCTGAAAGGGAAACAAGGAAAACTATGCCATTTACAATAGCATCAAAATAAATAAATAAATAAAATACTTGGGAATCAACTTAATGAAAGAGGTGAAAGTCTTCTACAATGAAAACTACAGAATGATAAAGAAAGAAATTAAAGAAGACCTTAGAAGATGGAAAGATCTACCTTGTTCTTGGATAGGCAGAATTAATATTGTCAAAATGATCATAATACCAAAACGACTATACAGATTTAATGCAATTCCAATCAAAATCCCAATGACATTCCTCATAGAAATAGAAAAAGCAGTCAGTCATGAAATTCATCTGGAAAAATAAGAGACCCAGAATAGCTAAAACAATCCTTAGCAAGAAGAGTGAAGCAGGTGGCATCACTATACCAGACCTTAAACTATACTACAGAGCAATAGTAACAAAAAGAACATGATGTTGGCAACAAAACTTATAGACCAGTGGTACAGAATAGAGGACACAGAGACTAACCCACATAATTACAGTTATTTTATATTTGACAAAGGTGCCAAAAACGTACAATGGGAAACATATAGCCTCTTTAACAAATGGTGCTGGGAAAACTGGAAATCCATATGCAACAAAATGAAATTAAACACCTGTCTCTCACCATGCACAAAACTCAATTCAAAGTGGACAAGGATCTAGGAATTAAACCAGAGACACTGAGTCTATTAGGAAAAAAAAAAAAGTAGACTCAAATCTCCATCATGTCAGATTAGGTCCAAACTTGCTTAATAAGACTTCCATAGTGTAAGAATTAATATCAAGAATCAATAAATGGGATGGATTCAAGCTAAAAAGCTTCTTCTCAGCAAAAGTAAGAATCAGAGAGGTGAACAGAGAGCCTACTAATTGGGAACAAATTTTTACCACATGCACATCAGATAGAGCATTAATCTCTAGGATATATAAAGAACTCAAAAATTTTAACACCAAAAACCAAATAACCCAATTAATAAATGGGCCAAGTATTGAACAGACACTTCTCAGAAGATCTACAATCAGTCAACAAATACATGAAAAAATGTTCAACATCTCTAGCAATTAGGGAAATGCAAATCAAAACTAAGATTTCATCACACTCCAATATGAATGGCAGATATTAAGAATACAAACAATAGTAAGTGTTGGCAAGGATGTGGGGGGAAAGGCACACTCTTACATTGCGGGTGGTACTCCAAATTGGTGCAGCCAATCTGAAGAGCAGTATGGAGAATCCTTGGAAAACTGGGGATGGAGCCACCATTTGACCCAGCTATCCCACTCCTTGGTCTATACCTAAAGGACTTAAAAACAGCACACTACAAGGATGATTGTATTTTAATGAGGTTTTCTTATTAATAAGAATTAGCTGTCTGCTGAACTGTATTTTATTTTTGATTGTCTTGATATAGAAGTTAATGGGCTTTCTGACATACATTGACTTGAATGTATTAAAGCCATTATCCTACTTTTGAAGTTAATTGCTTCTTCATGTATTTTAATAGACAAGTTTAAAAAAATGCCCATTCATTTTTGTAACCCTGTTAACACTTCTATGCAGTTAATATAATGTGTGTATGTGTGTGTGTGTGTGTGTTTATATTTGTGTGTGAACCATACATACATACATATGCACACACATACACAAACAGTCTACCTTTTCTATTGTTGAGTTTTGTATCTGTGGATTCAAGCAACCACTGATTGAAAATATTTAGAAAAAAACCTGCATCTGTACCAAAGATGAATAGACATTTATCTTTTCTTATTGTTTAAACAGTAAAGCCTAACTTCTATTGTTGTATTAATTGTGATACGTAATGTAGAGATTGATTTAAAGTATGCACAGGATATGTGTAGATTATATGCCAATACATATAAGGGACTTAAGCATTCATAAATTTTGGTCCTTGTGGGGGTAAAGTTAGTGGTGGGTGGGCTGTGCTTAGAACTAATCCCTTAAGGGTATGGAGAGACAATTGTACATAATGTGTATATTTATAATTATCTATATAATTAGTTTATTATTGTCTTAATATAGTTTATTTGAAAGATTGAGAGTATAACATATGCATGACTAGTTTTATATATCATTTTATTGTTTCAGGCACAAATTTTAATAATGGATATTTTCTTTTTCTAAGTCACACAAATGATGATGTCAGTGTTCTTTTGCAACTAATCTATTTTCTGCTTATTGTAGGTCCTTTTGTTCTGCATAACAGCAGCCATGTACATGTTCTTTTTCAGGTATGTTGCGTTATATATATTTATTTTAATACCAAAAATAGTATGGCTTTGTAATGTTTTTGTCAACCATGAAACTCAAAATAGGCCCTAAAAAATTGGCCCCCACAAGTGACCTTTTTTCCCAGGGCTGGTAATGGATAAATACCTACTCCGTTTTGACTGATAAAAGAGAAGCGGGGGAAGAAAGATTTTGTTTTTCCCCCCATTCTCCATGTAGGCTCATCTTAGAAAATAGAATGTGTCAATTAATTAGTACTCAAATCCCAATAAATGAATTTTTGTTTGCTTTTAGATATTCTTCACTTTCCTTATAAAAACAATTAATATTTTATATTTAAATGAGAAAAAAGTGACAGTAGGGTTCTAGCAATCAATATTTTAAATTTAAATGGGAAAAAAGTGGCAGTAGGGTTCTAGCTAAGCCTTCTGCGAAGGTACCTTAACACATTAATCATACTCTATAAATATTAAATTTGTCTCTAAGTTTAAAGTTGTACTTTAATTGGAACTCTGAGGATTAGAAATCTTAGGACTGTGGGAGGAGTGTCAGAGTGTTTCAAGTTATGAATGCTAATAAGAAGACTATCTGTCATCTTTGTATAACCATAGCAATATGAAATATAATTTTTGATTAGAGTGAGTCTACTCCTTAATCACAACCTTCATCTTCAGTGATACCAGTTAATTCCCATTTATCTCTCCCTTATTTAAATAAATCTTTTTTGATTTTCTTGGATCTATGCAGTGTTCAACCACAGCAAAAATCCCCAGGCTTTTAAGTTTATAATTTATACTTAATTAACAAAGGCAGTTATGGGTTTTAATCATATGTTGATATATTTATCTTTTCTTTAAAAATAATGAAATAATTGAGCCTGCCAACATTTTTCAACCACTGGTTTCTTACCAGAACATCTTATATTTGATCAATATATATTTGATGAATCCCGATGACATAATTCAAAATTACTTTGATTTTGAAAATGTTATATGTAAGTACAAAATGATGATGATGTTGTTTTTATTTTGGTAAAGAGACAGCCAGTGTGTTAGAGGAAAAGGTATAAACATTCAAAGTTGGGAGGATTTGACTTGCAAAGGATTGGTAATGGGATACATAGTATTTTATATCAGTTACTAGTAACTGAAAAAATTGTTGGAGCTATCTGGTTGTCTCTGAATTTTTTTTCCCCTTAGTGCTGCGGTTAATGTAGGGCCTTGTGGAAGCTAGGCAGGTGCTCTCCCACCTCTAGCTGGAAAAGTTCTAATCTGTTTATTATTTTTACTGTATCTTCATATATGCTATACTGTTACACTGGACTATTATACCATATGCAGACTATGGTCCCTTTCTTATATTTTTGACTTATGAGTAGGTTCGGAGGTTTAGGAACAATGACTGTTTTATTCCATTAGTTTACAAACAATTTATGATTGTATTCACATGTATTAGTAGGGAAATGTTATAGAAAGTTCACATAGTTTATTTTTATATGTTTATTTGCATAGTCTGAAGATATAGCATACCTGCTGGGAAAAATGAAATTATAAGAATTGCAAAGTTAGAAATTTGACTCTTGTTGACATGCACAGGAGGAAAGAACAACATCAAATAAATTTTCTTTTTGTCAAAATACGTACCAGAACAGGCATTTAAATGAAACTGTGACACTGAAAGACAACATATATGCTTTAATGTTTGGCATTTCTTTGTCATAAGATGGTTTTGAGGTTTTAAAACAAATCATGTGTTGAATTCATTGATAAATGACCAATTTGTAGCATGGTTCTAGGAAATTACATTTTGAAAGTTGCTGCCATCAACCTCGTATTTTTGGTGTAGAAAGAAAATCAACCCTATAAATATGTGTTTTGGTGCAGAGCTACAGAACCTTTTCCTGTTTCAGTCATAAAGTCTGGGTTAAAAACAACAGTTTAAAATACTTTCCAGAAGGCTCAATGCAAGGTTTAAGTGCCAAGATAAACACTTTCAATTTTCTGAGGAAAGGGGTTGTTTTTCTTCTAAAAGAAGCACTATCACCAAATTCTTAGTGTTCTTGGCAAAAGTTAGTTTGAATAACTCAACAAACGAGGTTTGATGAATGGTAAAATAAAACCATTTACAAAGTACTATAACCAAACAAAACAATGTTATATGTTTTTCTGAACTCTAACTTGTGTTTGGAATGAACAAACATTATACAATAGCATTTAGCTAGTCCAAATGCATTGGAATATTTTATTCTTAATTAAATTTTATTATAAGTACAGATATTTGTGGACACATTTATTTAATTGTTAATAATTATTTTCAATTTAATTGCATAAAATTGAATACTTAAATATCATGATATTGACCCCAAGACTCCTTTTATTGTAACCTTTTTTGGCAAGAGTATAAGAGAAAAATTGTATGTTTGAAGAGCCAACTTATGGTTTTATCCAAATATATAAATGGGAAAAATTGAAATGAGACCCCTTTCAAAACAGAAAAAATGTACCAGTTTTATTTTTTTTTAAAAGAAAGAACTGGAAGAAATAGTTCCTTGAGTATTTTCCGAGTATGTTCCTTGGCTATGGTGGTTATATTGCAAGTTTATTTAAAAAGCAACACGATGTTTTTGGTGTTGAAAACTATGGTTAACCAAATGTGAAATGAAATATTTTACTCTTGAATAGCTTTTAATAGCTTTTAATCCATACATGAGAAAAAAAAAAGATTGTGCAAATGAAATTCTGAGATCACCTCACAGGCTTGAGCTGGAGAAAGGTAGTGTGTGAGAGAGAGCTCTAGTTCTGTTACACTTTTTAGCCAGCTGGCTTGCAGCAGTATAGCCATAAAGTACTTGCTGTAGTCTTTTAGGAATTAGGGTATAACTCAGGATGCACATATTTTGAAGACCCTTTGAAAGAAGGCTCTTTGTACCATCCCAGTGAACATTCTTTTGGGTGTTGCTGCCTCCTTGTTAAGTTATCTTATCATTAAGCATTCTTTTGTCATGACTGTACATTAGGGTATTGTCTATCATGATCAATGCAGGCCAAGTAGGATCATGAAAATTTGGTAGAAAATCTTGTCTCATGTACTACTTGAAGCAGTTTTTTAAACTTTCAAATATGTATTTACGAGTAAAATAGCCAAAGGATTCATTATATTTCTTGAATTAGGATTAATTAGGAGGGAAAAAAGAAATTTTCTTTTGACCACTAACATTTTTCTCTTTTATGTGAGAAAACGAAGAATCAACACAAAGCACAAAGAGAAAATATTATACTTAATCCTGTTCACTGAAAAAAAAAAAGCAGTGCTTTTAAGCATCGTTGGTTTTGTTTTCAACTATAGGTATGAAAAATATCTATATTTTAGAGAAAGGAAGTAATTCAGCATGATTTCTTTGTTAGTTTAAACTAGATATTATCCTAGAGTATATACTAATTTTGATCCTAGCCTCATGACTACTAGTTAGACATTCTTCCCAAAAGCCTTTGCAAAGGCAACAGTTTCAACAGTTTATTTCAAAATATAGATTGTGAAGCTCAGTCATGTCATAGCCATTAATCTATATACATAACGGACTGTTTCACAATGGACATATCTTACATAATCTGATGTTAACATGGAAAGGTACAGCATTTTTAGTCAGAAACCAGTGCAAATGACAGTTTATTGTCATTTTTAAGCATATTTAGAAATAGTGTTTTTCTGTTACCTGATGGTTTCTAATCAGCTCTTTGTGAAAGCACAAATAATAAACTATTTCATTAGCCTTAAGGTATAGGTTTAGTTTTTGTAGTTATTATTTATTGGTTGGAAAACATGTGCTTTTTGATTTCAAGACATTTGTGATTGTCATAGAATATCTTTGTATAAGCTTACCTTAGTGTCTTTGAACAAACTGTAACAGCAACTAAAGAACTTCAGATCTTGGTCTTTTACTCATTTATTTAAGTTAAATGAAAGTCATTTAAGTATCAGGTAAATTTTATTTAAAGTATTGCTTTAAAATATCCAAAATCCTCTTTAAAAACATTAAAATATTTATGACATTTGGAGCTTAAAACTTTGACCTCTTGGGAGAATTTTCCCTAAATAATTAGATTTCATTTAAAAAATCATTTGCAAAAAAAAAGTTAATATGATGAGAGTGAATTGGACATTTGGAAGGGAGCACATGATAGGACATAGGAAGATCATATTTTTATTATTCAGTAGAAAAAGTGTGATTACTTCTCTTTGAGTCAGTTTTCAGTTGCTATAACATAATATCTGAAGCTGAGTAATATATTAGGAAAAGGGGTTTATTTAGCTCACAGTTTTGGGGGTGAAAGTCTAAGATTGGCTAGCCTCATTGATTTGGTCTCTAATGAGGGCCCCTTGTGTGGGTTCGTGATATGACTGATGGTATTACACTGGAGCTACATTTAAAAGGGAAAGATCATATGGTGAAACAGGAATGGAGAAAGCAGGAAAGGGGTCTTTTCTCTTTTATAACGACCTTCTCATGAAAACTAGCTGGGTTTCCCACAAGAATTATTTTTATTCCTTTTGAAGGCAGTCCCCCCAGTGCATCCCACTATCTAAAAGTTTTACTATCTCTCACTTTGCTGCACTGGAGCCCAAGCTTCCAATACATGAACCTTTGGGGACAAATCATATGCAAACCTTATCAACCCAAGTGAAGGTCATGGTGGTAATATTGTGAAGAGTGTATTTAAGATATGAGGGTTGCTTCATGGATGAGGAAGATGAAAGATGCTAGAATTTTTTGTAAGCAAATTAGAATAGAGAGAATATGTATGGAAATGAGTACAGGATTTGCAACTAGTGAGATTGTGATGCTTTTAATACATTTAGATAGAGAAATTTAGCTATCATTTGGTTGTTTGCTGCTAAAGAATTACATTTTAGTCAGACATAGAAATTTAGGAGTTCCCAGCATATAGAAAATAGTTTGAGCCATGTTATAGGTAGGTAGTATTCCATAGTGAGAATTTGGAGA